AAATTCCCAAACCCCAAATTCGTCAAACCCCCAGTCTCCCAACGGCCAAATATTGAACATATCTAATGCACCCATTCTACAACGGAATTTCTAGGCAGTATAACAAGAATATACTAAACCTACCTTCATCCTTTACCCATACACGTGCACAGTACCCACTGAGTAGTGACATTCAACCTGAATTATAGGGCTCATCTGATAGTGAGGATTTTGTAGCCTTCGGCGAGAAGACATTTACTCATGTCTGACATAATAAGTGATGCAGTCATAATGTACGAATGACCTTGTAGGATAAAGATCGTGAATCTCAATGTTAGTACATACGTCTGAATCTTAAGTACAAAGTTCTGAAAGAACTTTATCTTCGTATGTCGTGTGTTCTTACATATGTATGCCAAAGTGGTACAGATATTTATCCTGGTAGCATATCTCAGATTTTGCTTTTAGCAATCAAATGTAGCAGAATTATTATTTGTGTATTTATTACTGTTCTTTTAATATTATAATTAAATTACCTTGGTTTGCATGATGTATTTGTATAAAAATTGTTATGTGTAGAATTATTGTAAATGGAGGTGGAAGTAGTTGAAATTTGGACAACAAGGTTAACTTTTCAATTGTTAGTACTTAGTGTTAGATTATTTTTAATGTAGTGTCTTCTGTTATAAATGAAAATAATTCTGAAGAGGTTATGAGACATATAAGTATTTATTTATGGTGTTATAAATAATGTTAATGCTATTGAAGGTAATTTTTAGACGACCATTAACTATTAAAAGTTATTGGTACTTATAGTATCAATGCTGTATATCGTACATATCTTATTACTTATTGTTGGATTATTTTTAATATAGTGTCTTCTGTTATAAATGAAAATAATTCTGAAGAGGTTATGAGGCACATAAGTATTTACTTATGATGCTATAAATAATGTTAATGCTACTGAAGGTAATTTTTAGACGACCATTAACTATTAAAATTTATTAGTACTTATAGTATCAATGCTGTATATTGCACATGCTTATAAAAAATTTATTAAAAATGTAAGATAATCGAGAAATAATAAATGTAATGAAGAGTAACAAATTAAGATGACAAAAAGTACAGCAAAGTGTGCGATATACGAAACTGCGGATATTAGCGGATTAAGGACAAGATAAAGGAAACACCCTATATATTAAAAGTTGCTATATAGAGAAACGTTTCCACGGCTACGAAATAGAGGGCGTACTTACCGCAATGCGCCAGTGACGTGTTCACGAATGCAACAAAGCGTTTTTTTTACTCGTTGGAGCATACAAGAAACAACATTTGTACATCTCTAATCACCTATCTTTTTTTTGTCTTTTTCTTTTAATCACAAACGTATCGATTGAACGCGTCACTCTGATCGATTCAACCGGCGAGCATTTCGCGTTCTTTTTCGGTGGATAACGCTTTTAAATTCGATGGCCGGAGTTTGGTTTCCAATCAAATGGTGAATTTAATCAAAGCTAGAAAAAGAATCGGTCCATCAGGTTGCCGGACCAGAATTCGAATCTGGGATTTTTACTGATCGGTCGATTGCATTTGCCAATTTAACGAACCGGTGAATGAGCCGGTTCTTTTTTCGAAACTGGAAAATTCGCGGTGACCGTTGCTTGAATTCTCTGGCACGAACGAGATTTGAAATTCAAAATATCTTCGATGTTTCGTGCGAATGTTACACAAATGTATGTACATGTATGTATGTACACGTAAGAGTTTCCTATATACATATGTATAAATACACATATGTGAGAATTCTTGCACATACATGTAAGAGTATACATGTAAGAATTCTTACATACATATACATGTGAGGACATACATGTATGAGAAATTTTAAACATGTATGTAGGAGTACATACTAGTAAGAGTTCTAATATGAACATGTGAGAACACATATACATGAGAATTTTTACACATGTAGGAGTTCTTACATATACATGTGAGAACAAATATGTGTTAGAATTTTTACATATATATGTAGAAATACATACATATATGAGTTCTTACATATATGTATATGTGAGAACACAAATATGTAAGAATTTTTACACATATATGTAGGAGTATCTACATGTAATAGTTCTTCACATACATATATGTAGGAGCACATGTATATAAGAATTTTTAAATACATATACATGTAAGAGTACACGTAAGACTTTTTACACATGTGTGTAGAAGTACGCATATGTGTAGAACTGCACACATGTAAAAGTCGGTTCATATGAATATGAGAGTTCACATATGAAAGAGTTCTTACCCATACAATACACAAAATATACAAACATGTATACAAAAATAATTGCATAAATATATGTAATATAACATATGTAATATATGTTACATAAATATATGTCAGTATAATATATTTGTTAAAGAGACTGTAATATTTAAATTGGATCTTTCATGCATTTAATGATTATTTTGATTGCATGAATTTTAATTGAAGAAATTGTTATTATTTTAATTGGAAGCTCTGTTTAATTAATGGATGGTTTTGGTGGAACGAATTAAATACAAATATAATTGTTGCATTTGTATTCGAGAAGGAAAAATTTATAAATAAGTATTTGTAATTGTAATTGTGATCCTTATTGAGTACAAAAGAAGAGACTCTAAGTATTCTAACTGTTATTATAATACTTTATTAATTACAAAGCGTTAAAAAGTTTTTGAAGAACAATTATTCATAAAGTCGAATTATGATCCTCTTAGCTTCTAGTATTGTTTATTATTGTTTACCCTTGTTCCTTGTTTACTCCATTAATCTCAGTTTCAAGTTTAGTCGATGGTATTGTTCACCCTTGTTCCTTGTTTGCTTCATTAATCTCGGTTTCAACTTTAGTCGATAATATTAGGTTAGGTGCGTGTATATTTAGTTCGTGTGTCACGGTAATTAACGCAGTTGTTGTCGATCACTTTTCACTTCCTTGCTAATTAAAACAGTAAATTTTCCAATTTTTAGACCCCACATTTATGGATTTTTAGATTTATAACATATCTTAGATTCTTAAATTTCTGGGTTCCTAAATTCCTTTATTTTTAGGTTACTAGATCCCTAGATTTCTAAATTCTTAAGTTACTAAATAGATAAGTTTCAAAATTAAAAAATTTGTAAATGACTAAATTTTTTATATACTAAATTTTTAAATACCAAGATTCCTAAATTTCTAAATTCCTAGATTTCTAGGAAGGTTCCTAGGTTCCTAAACTCCTAGTTTTTCAAATTTTAAAATTTCCAAATTTTCGGATGATCCAATTATCAAATTTCCAATTTTCAAAGCTCCCAAATTACCAAATTTTCACATAAACGAATTTCCAAATTTCATGCAGCAAGCAGAAAAGAAAACATTAAACATCCAAACTCTCTTCATCAAAAACAAAATTTCCAAAATAAAATCAATTTGTACTAACTAAAAAATGAAGAGTAAACAAACTTCTTACAGTTCAATACAGAAACGAACAAGAATAGTTCTGAACCAACCATAGCAAAAGGGGTAACTTCCATTCAAATATTTGCAATTGTCCTGCACTGTTTGCTGCGCAAACAAACTCCATTTCTTAAAGAATCTTCCAGGATCGTAGTTGTTGGTCAATAAAAGGAAGGACGTATTTCTTATATAGGCCAGCGCTTAAGTTTTTATTTAGACACATAGCATTGTCGACATATTTCCCTTCCTCTTATTTCTCATAAAAATTTCATGATCGTGTAATTAAAATGTTTCGACAGACCCCTCGTTTTGACGTCACGTGAAAATTATCCCACAAAAACACTTCAAACAAGATTCTATTCATTTACTTTCCTGCGTTAATTATATCTTTCGAACAATGCTCCGCACGGAAATTCAGGCAGTATTTTTACTTACGTAAACGTCGGACTAATTATAAATATTCACTTTCCACGGGAATGAAAATAAGGACAGCTTACCGCGAGCATATTATTGGTGTTAATTAATCGATCAACCGAGTTATTTTTACTTTTTTTCGGTGTCCTAGTTAGCACTACCCTGATTATCTATCGCTCGTTGCTCTGAAAATTTCAACTTCCTCTTTGATTGATCACAAAAGAAATTGCGAACTTTTTGCAGTCGGAAAATGTTGAAAAAGCGGCGGAAATAATCGTGGTCATGAATAGCCGAGTAGACAGTGTATACCTATCATCAACTGTTTCGAAGAAAGTCTTTCACGCACAAAAATGAGACTTCCTTTTGAAAACTTTCTCCTTTTTTGTTGCGGTATGTGCATTTTTCTTGTGCAGTTAAGGCGGTTCAATAATACATTAGGTACAATAGTTCTTTATTCAGAATTTTATTGTTCAAATTTTATAGTGGTCCCTCGTCTTAAACGGTACTCTTTGTACGCTAGTTTATTGTTAGGAGATAATAATCTTGTTTTGGGAGAATTAGGAGGACCGTTGTTTTGGGAGAATCGTTGTTAGGGTTATGATGTATTGAAAACAAAAAAGAATGAGAACAAATTTTTTATTAATAGATACTCGAAAGTTTATTTAACCATTAAAGATATTATACAAATTATAAGGAAACGAAATTAGGATCTATTACGATTTTCGTGTGGTTCTCAAAGGGTTAAATGTAGGACATATGGTACATCAGGTACTCAAGCTAGTAAACTCAAACTTTTGTTAATGTGTATATATACTAAAGTAATTTCAAAATTGTAAACTACAAAATCAGTTCAGTTCAGTGTATCTCAACAGTGTATACCAAGGGTTAACAATAAAAACTTCACATAGCCCTAAACGTCTAAAGTCAAAAGTAGCCAGAGGTGTCAAACTCTAAACCACCTGACTTAACGATCGATATTCCAAAATAGATAACAGCTATTTATCATACCAATGCACGAGACAGAAAATAAATATAGCACGCTTTAATCTCCCAATTGAATCATATTCGATAATAATGGAAGCAGACGTGAGATATCTAAACTGACGAATCACGTTTCTTTTTCAGATTCCTCGATGGAGAGTTCCGGTGGTGACAAACAGAACGAGTCGGACGATTGTGATGTGACCGCCAATAATCAGCACGAGAACAAGATGACGGGTCAAGAGGACACCAACGTGAAGGGGAACAAGAACCTCGGCGAACAGGAGACGTTGAAGAACCTGAAGAATCTAGAGAACAGCCAGAATGACGAGGCTCCGAATAAATTATCGAAGGCGGTGTCCCAGGACGACGAGGAGGACGAGGACGAATGTAAAGGCTCCGACGAGGACGAGCTGAAAGAGGAGAAAACCGACGGTAAAAAGGACGAGGAATCGTCGAGTAGCACCACGTCGACGAGCACGTCCGACGACGAGTCCGAAACTAGTTCGGATGACAAGACAGAGGCTTCGAAAACCGAGCAAATCAAGACGGTGGCGGCTGAAACCAAGAAAGAGGAAACGTCGAAGAATGACGACACCACCGACGACAGCGATATCGAGGATGATTTGATCTCTGCTATTAATTATAACACTATTACCTCGTTGGCTGCTCTCAAGGATATGCTGCAATCCTCTGGCGAGGATTCCGACGGTGTGGATAGCTTTTTTCATCACTATTTTCTGTCGCACGTGAACAGGTTACCTTCCAGAAATCAGACGCATAGTCCCTATCCTTGGGGCAGGAGGTTGTCGGAATGCAGGGAGGAGGACGAATACGAAACTGAAGAAGGTAAGGGTACAGTACTAGTATTAGATACAGTAGATTATAGTAAATTATACTCTTGTTATGTAAAAAAAGATATATACACTTACTGCTGCATGGATGCAGTAGGTTCTTGTTGTTAATTAGGATCTATTACGATTTTCGTGTGGTTCTCAAAGGGTTAAATGTAGGACATATGGTACATCAGGTACTCAAGCTAGTAAACTCAAACTTTTGTTAATGTGTATATATACTAAAGTAATTTCAAAATTGTAAACTACAAAATCAGTTCAGTTCAGTGTATCTCAACAGTGTATACCAAGGGTTAACAATAAAAACTTCACATAGCCCTAAACGTCTAAAGTCAAAAGTAGCCAGAGGTGTCAAACTCTAAACCACCTGACTTAACGATCGATATTCCAAAATAGATAACAGCTATTTATCATACCAATGCACGAGACAGAAAATAAATATAGCACGCTTTAATCTCCCAATTGAATCATATTCGATAATAATGGAAGCAGACGTGAGATATCTAAACTGACGAATCACGTTTCTTTTTCAGATTCCTCGATGGAGAGTTCCGGTGGTGACAAACAGAACGAGTCGGACGATTGTGATGTGACCGCCAATAATCAGCACGAGAACAAGATGACGGGTCAAGAGGACACCAACGTGAAGGGGAACAAGAACCTCGGCGAACAGGAGACGTTGAAGAACCTGAAGAATCTAGAGAACAGCCAGAATGACGAGGCTCCGAATAAATTATCGAAGGCGGTGTCCCAGGACGACGAGGAGGACGAGGACGAATGTAAAGGCTCCGACGAGGACGAGCTGAAAGAGGAGAAAACCGACGGTAAAAAGGACGAGGAATCGTCGAGTAGCACCACGTCGACGAGCACGTCCGACGACGAGTCCGAAACTAGTTCGGATGACAAGACAGAGGCTTCGAAAACCGAGCAAATCAAGACGGTGGCGGCTGAAACCAAGAAAGAGGAAACGTCGAAGAATGACGACACCACCGACGACAGCGATATCGAGGATGATTTGATCTCTGCTATTAATTATAACACTATTACCTCGTTGGCTGCTCTCAAGGATATGCTGCAATCCTCTGGCGAGGATTCCGACGGTGTGGATAGCTTTTTTCATCACTATTTTCTGTCGCACGTGAACAGGTTACCTTCCAGAAATCAGACGCATAGTCCCTATCCTTGGGGCAGGAGGTTGTCGGAATGCAGGGAGGAGGACGAATACGAAACTGAAGAAGGTAAGGGTACAGTACTAGTATTAGATACAGTAGATTATAGTAAATTATACTCTTGTTATGTAAAAAAAGATATATACACTTACTGCTGCATGGATGCAGTAGGTTCTTGTTGTTTTGTAGGATGAGGTCCTTGTACACTTATTACTCTATGGACACAGCAAGTGGCAGACTCTTGTTATATTATAGGACGTGGTCCTTGTACACTTATTACTCTATAGACACAACAGATGGTAGACTCTTGTTATATTGTAGGATGAGGTTCTTGTACACTTATTATTATGTAGATACAGTAGATTGTAAATTCTAGGATGAGTATGTCTAGACAAGAGTTTGTGGATCTTGAAATTTGTGGATGTAGCATAAGTGAGTTTACAACTTTGGAACTTTTTAATTTTTAAATTTTTGAATTGTTGAGCCTTAAGGGTTTTGAACCTTGAAATTTTTAAACTTGAAAAATTAAATTCGAAAATTTGTTAACTCTAGAAATTTAAAATCTTGACCCCTAAAAATTTCACAAACTTGAAGGCTTTGGAATTGTGGACTTCCAAATTTTGAGACTTAGCAATTTTGATACTTCAAAAAATAATGTCTTATTTATAGTAAAAAAATTAATGTTTTTGAACGTGGATCTGAGTCCATACAATTGCCAGAAGACTGTTTCCAGAATTAATAACGAGTCGAATCCTTTGCAGGAGTGAAATAATAATTGCTCGATACATGAAATTTTCAGTAGCAGTCTAGACCGAGAATAATCGAACAGACACATTGTGTATTTTGATAAGATTGCGATTCAGGTATGGTAAACATGTGTCAATATAATTGGATATTTTGATTTTTCGATGTGTAGATAAGATATCGATAGTATTAATTGGTAAATATTATATGTATATGTGTATGTCAGGTTTCGTATACAATAGTGTCATTCAAAATTTTACCAAAATATTCAACTATGACATCAAGGATTATTATTTTAGGATTGTAAATTTTTGATTATTTTACGTTGTTATTATAATTGTAGGAGTATTCACAATTTTCTCTTTTACTTTTATTCGACGGAATTATCGGTGATTGATGTATTGATTAGTCAATTTAGACTTTGGAATTTTGAAACTTTGGAACTTTGAAATTTCCGGCTTTGGTAAATCAAGATTTCAGAATTTGCCATTTTGTGTATGTTGACGTTGGCACGTCGCTATTTTGGGACCTAGAGATTTTGAAATTCTGAAATTTTCTGATTTTGAGATGGAAATTTCCCATCGTTGAAGCTTTGATATTTTGAAAATTTTTAAGTCTATTGCTTTGATATGGAATTTTTTAATTTCGATACTTTGATATCTTAAGATTTTAAAGATTTGTTAACTTTAGCACCTGGATACTTTGGAATTTTTTAACTTTCGGACTGTGGAATTTTTTAACTTTCAGATCTCAAAACATATTACATTGCAGACAAGTAAATCTCATAAAATTACCACTTTCAAAAATTAATTTTGTTCCACAAAAATTTAAGAAGATTCGTACTCGTGAAAAAGCTAGAACGTAGAGTCAACAGAACATAGAGTCACCAACCTAGAATTTATTTAATATGAAGATCTTAAGATTCTTTTATACTATAATTTTATATTCAGAATTCTTTTCTTCGATTTCTTAATCAAATCCCAAATTGTATATATTATAACTATCCTCTATCAAAGTCAGTTGATCATTTTAAAAAGTTTATGAATTAATTTGTCAATCAAATGTAGCGTTCCGCCTTATTGCCATAATTGTAGCATCATTCAAAATAATTTCTTCCGTTATTTTCCACTCACTTAACCGATTATTACCAGCTTCAAAATGTTAATTAGTTACACAAGAATTATAATTGAAATTTAAATGAATTCTCCGAGCAACTTCATGTTAGTCTTATTCTTTGTCGATACGCCGTTCGCGTTAAAATGCGAAGCAGCCAACGTTGAGATTCAAACTGATTTCGATTGAATCGCGTGCTCGCGTACAGTCAAGTGCAAATCTGGCTTCTCTAAGTAAAATAAGACGTTCAAGCAAGATAACATTTTACACTCGTTGATTTCCAGGGATTTTAGGAGATTTTTAGAGATTTTAGGAGATTTAGCAATTTGGAGATGTATTATAGTATTATGGAATACATGTATGGATACAGGAATACATCTATGGATATATGAATACATCTATGGACACATGATACATCTATGGATACATGAATACATCTATGGATACATGAATACATCTATGGATACATGAATACATCTATGGACACATGAATACATCTATGGATACATGAATACATATATGAATATGTGGAAGTTCAGGAATTTGGGTAGATATGGAAAATGGAAGAATTTATTAATTTCTGAATATTTCGACATCTAAAAACTTTTAACTTATGAAACTTATAAATATGAGAATGAATTTATGAATTTGTGAACGTAGTAATTTCGGAATGCAAGTATTATTGAATTTGGTATTTGAGGAATTCGGGATGTGGAGATGTAGGAACATGGAGATCAAGGAATTTGGTGGTATAAGTATTTGTGGAGTTGAAAATTTGTAGGAGTAAGGATTTGGAGACCTAAGGATTTCAGGATGTAGGAATTTTGGGATATAGGTATTTGGGGACTGTAGGATGTGGAGATGTAGACAAATGGAGATCAAGAAATTTGGTGGTCCAAGAGTTTGTGGACCTTGAAATTTGTGGATGTAGAAATTTTAGGTCGTAGGAGTTATGGGACGTAGGGATTTCGGGATGAAAGAATTTTTGGACGTGGGAATTTTGGGACGTAGGAGTTTTGGGACGTAGGAATTTTGGAACGTAGGAATTTCGGGGCGTAGAAATTTCGGGACATAAGAATTTTGGGACGTAGGAATTTTGGGACGTAAGAAATTTGAAACATAGGAATTTTGTGATGTAAGAAATTTGTGACGTATGAACTTCGGGGACGTAGGAATTTTGGGACGTAAGAAATTTGGAATATAGAAATTTCGGGACGTAGGAATTTTTGGACGTAAGAAATTTAGAACGTAGAAATTTCGGGACGTAGGAATTTTGTGATGTAAGAAATTTGTGACGTATGAACTTCGGGACGTAGGAATTTTTGGACGTAAGAAATTTGGAATGTAGAAATTTCGGGACGTAGGAATTTTGGGACGTAAGAAATTTGGAACGTAGAAATTTCGGGACGTAGGAATTTTGTGATGTAAGGAATTTGTGACGCATGAACTTCGGGACGTAGGAATTTTTGGACGTAAGAAATTTGGAACGTAGAAATTTCGGGACGTAGGAATTTTGTGATGTAAGGAATTTGTGACGCATGAACTTCGGGACGTAGGAATTTTGGGACGTAAGAAATTTGGAACGTAAGGATTTTGGGACGCAGGAGTATTGAGACGCAGCAATATTGGAACGTACGAATTTTAAGACAAAGAAAATTTGGTATATAGAAATTGTGGAGCGTCGGAATTTCGAGACGTAGACCTTGGTACACAGAACTTTCAAGGCATAGAAATTTTTAAATCGTAATTTTGAGAAGTAGAAATTTTAACATGTAGAGACTTTGTGATATAGAAACATAGCGACGTAGACTTTATGGAAATATGTATTCAACGTTGTTATATGTAGATGTGATGACTTGCAAATTCAAAAAATTTAGAACTATAGAACCTTAATAACTCTTGAGAATCAACACCTATTATAAATAAAAGCAAAATTTAAAAAAATTGAAGAACTGAAACCTTGAAAGTTAGAAACGGTAGCTTTAACCCATGCAGCGTGTCCAACAAGTTTGGCCATGTAAAAGTGATCAGGTTTGCATACGTGTTCCTAATCAAAGGAAGCCAGATTTGCTCCCGCGTGTACATCCGCGGTAGATTGCGAGAAAAGCAGCATATTACGAAACACGATTCGAGCATTAAAACGCGCGAAGAGCTATTAACAGGAGCTCGTTCTCGTTCAATGAGAGCTAAGATTAGCGTGCGGCTAGTGGTTTCGCTTCGTTTAGTTCCGTTTGGCAACGTTTCTACAAACAGCGCGAAAAGTCACTACTTACCCAACGATACCCTTTATTAATAGATTATTACCAAAAACGGAAACAAGATGTAACAGTTGATACTTTTTATCTTTGTGAAACGTTGCTGTGTTTCAATGTGTTTGATGTTTTTCGCGTACAGAGATTTCTGGGACACGTCAGTTTATTGTTCCGCGTTGATGGATGTACAATTGTACATATTTTCTTCTAGACTTATATTTTTAGCTACGTATCCTCGAGTGTTTTATGTATTATAAACGTCTGACAAGTATTGATGTAAATGTACCATAAAATAACTCTGATTATAGATATGTTGACCTGAAGTTTAAAATTTGATGAAGTGACGAAATAACATTTGTCAATCATAATTGATAAGTGATTTTTAATATAACATTGTCCAATAGAATATAAATAGGCATTCTATTTAAACACTTCTGTGTCTACTTTGTGTTACACATAATAGTTCATAATAATTTTTAACATTTGACCACTTCATATTACAAATATCTGTGAAACGTTTATATGATCCATAAACATACATCTTGTGTATCATGTATATTTCATAACATACAAGTACATACATCTAATTGATCACTAGTGACAGACAGTACTAAGCTATAAATTAATCAATCCATTGTTTACTGAAGAACCAGTCACTTTGTATTAAGAATACCTATAAAACGTTTATGTAATATTTTTCAGCAAACTTGAAGCTTCAAATTGATACATCTTAATCACTATTTTGCAACACTTTTATGTCATCTTTGCTTGTGACGTTAGCTATTTCAAAATCTGGTACTTATGTGTATTTGACCTAATAAAACTTGTATATATACATTCATATATAGAAGTATAAAAAAGATTTAATTCATATTGAATAGTGTTTTCTCTCGAATGTTTCCAAATGTTAGAATTGAGGTAAAAAGTACGCGACGATTAATTGAGTACTTCAGTGAGTCCGACACCGGCCTCATACGATTGCAAAGGTTGTAACAGAGCAGTCTTTATGATCGGAAACCTTGAGAGTCCAGTATTACAAGTGCGTCGAATAATGGTCTCTTTGTCGCAATAGTGCAAGCAGATCTCTGATGTTCAGCTAACCGTCGGGTTCCTCTGTTCCAGGGAAAAATGTGGAAAGTTCGATCGCGGAGACCGCGAGCGAGACCAAAAAAGAGACCGCGAAAAACGAGGAGCCCGAGGAGAAGAACGAGAGTGTTTCCTCGAAAGCATCTAGTCCGTCAGCTTCCGAAAAGTCTAGTTCGGAGAAGATCGATCAGAAATCGAATGCAGCAACCACTGCGTCCGAGTCGAAAACGAGCGTCGTTTCAACGGTAACGACGACGGCAGCTTCGACGACAACGTCGTCGATGACAACGTCGACAAGCACGGTGACGACTACCAGCTCTTCGAGATTCACCACGTGCACCGTTACCTCGCCCACGTCGACCACGAAGCCCCCGTTGAGGAGGAGACACACCACGGGACCCGGGATGACCTTTCCTGCAACCGATCCACCTAGTTACTCGACCAGCATGACCTTCTCGAGAACCAGCCCTCTTCCTAGTCCCCATCTCGATAAGAGGTTCTTCGATAGCAGTTTGATCGAGATGAAGAGCCAGGCCAGCAGCTCCAGTACTCTGGATTACGATTCTACCGAGGAAGTGTGGGTTCGAAGGGTGGATTTCGTTCAGGAAAGGAAGAGAAAGGTAAGTGACGTTTTGATCTTCGGGTTATTACTGTGATTCGTTTATGGGAGGTTTTATTTTTAACTAGAAATCTTCGGTTTCTTCGAAATTTTATTGGAGCGAATAGTATGTGTTTGCCTTCACATACTTTTGGAATGACGGAAGTTATTTGTATACCAATAATTTATTATTCTACAATTCTGTTGTTCTGCTATTTTATTATTCTACTATTTTCACTATTCTGATATTCTGCTACTTTTGTTTTCTGTTATTCTACTACCCTACTTCTCTGTTACTCTATTATTGTACTACTGAACGATCTTATTACTCTACTTTTCTATGATACTACTATACTGCTGATTCTATAGTTGTCTATAGTTCTGCAGTAATGTACTACTGTTGTATAGATACTCTTGTGCAACTATATTGCTGCACCAAACGACCATGCTGTTACACTACTATTTTATTAGTCTATCATTACACCGTTCCACTGTACAGCAGTTTTCCTATTTTATACTATTTTTTGCTTTACTATTATAGTATTATATTTTACGCCTTATACAATGCTACTAGATAATCTGTTCTACATTGTATGTTACTAAAATTTCAAAATTATTGAAATCGTTGAATACATACGCAACTCTACATAATTTTCTAAATATGAAGAACGTAATTCTAAAGTTAGTTACAAGCTAATTTCCTTTTAATTGTACATAAAAGTTCCGAATAATTAGATTGCAACACAAAGCTTTGGTATCCACGATGATTTTATACGGACTGTACGTCGGGTATAAGAGAAGCAGACCGCTGCATCTAATTGTATTAATTGACTAATTGCTACGAAAAGGAGCAGCGTTGCAAATTTGTTTACCGACTTAAAGCGTTATGAAAGTGAACTGCACAAACGATGAAACCGAAGATAAAGTTTCAAATTGTGAAACAGCTGTTTGTAGATATAATTGTGCGTACAAGTAATTTATTGGAGAACTTGCAGAAATGACTAAACTTATCAAATTGGCGGCAGTAGGTTTCTTATTCAAAACTACTTTAATTAAATGGAGTGAACTATTGAAAGCACGAAATTTAATTTACTTTGTTTAGCTAAGAGATATCTAGTATTTAGTGTGTGTCATATTAGAGAATAAAATAAGGAAAATGTATGAAGTAAATAAATGGTTTATTTAGTATAATAAAAGTATGAAATGACGAACTAATTTTTTAGGTGATTTTGTGTCTTTTGTCAGTTAGTCTTACAGTGCATAAATTCGCTGAGAAGAATTTTCCTATATTTCTTTTTATTACAATAATCATTGTACATTGTTCAAATTTTTATTACAATAGTAGAGTAAATATGTGAACCGAGTTCGCATACAGAGAGTATCATTTTGAATTATAAATTGTGATTTTCATAGAAATCATTAGTGTTAAATTTGTGAGTTGTGATTATCTTAGAAATGAAAAATGCTTCAAAAAGGAAAAGGTTTAAGCAAAAATAGTCTGAGCGATGGGTTTGATTGTTCTCGCTGGAAATCGAACTCGATGAGACGCGTGCTCGTTCGTAAACGGCTGACCATTTAAAGTATCGTTCACAACCAGTAAGGTGTGGTCGTTAAGCATAATCATTGGTGGAATTATGGTTGTCACGAGCGACCAATCACGCGAACGCACGATCAATCGATTGGCTCTTCCGCTTCACGCGTGATCTCGAGTCAAGCAAATTCTTTCTTCCTTTTTATTCTTCTTCTTTTTTGTGGAACGGTGTTTATGCAGTTTTTACTACTCGTAAAACATTCTTGAGAAAGAAAGAACTACTGAAACTTTCATTAGTTTTTATATTTTGATCTAATCGAATTTTAATTTTGATCGAATCTTATTTATTTATATATTTCATTTTTAATGCGAATGTTCTTATTTTAATTTTGAATTTAGTTCATTTGCAGCGTATTTTAATTTTCAATCAGTTTTCTCCTGTCGACTTTTACTTCCAATTAATTTTCTCTAATTTCAACTGTTTTATGAAAATTCAAAAGACACCATTGGACAGCAGACAGATAATTGACAATTATAGTTGATAATAAATTGGCAATTAAGTTCGTATCTCACATTTTTTTCTACAATGTTATTAAAATTCAACAAATGAGTATAATTATTTTTTAATTAATAAATACTTCTCCACGATGAAATTGCGATTTTGCAGCATGGTCACAAATTAGATGTTCCGTTAAAAAAGAATTTTTTGTGATTATCTAGAATTCATCTTCTACATTCATCTCGATTTTTGCATTTATTCTAAAACAAATTAAACAGTAGAAAAAAGAATACTTGAAAAAATAATTTAATAATTATTTATAAATTTATATTCTCATCTCTACCCGTTCGATTTATTGTCAGTAACATTTCAAAAGCTGATGTAACTGAATTTTCGTCTTACACAACTTTTTAAACGATTTCGAAATAACACGCTTTAGAAAGCAAACAAAATTCTATTTTCACAGTATATTTTGATTTAATACGGTTCAAATGGTATTTTTAAAATCGCCGTTCTGTTAAAAAGAATATTTCCATTACGTCAAAAAAATAATTGAGTTTGTCCTATTGCATCGAGGATTACGTTGCAAAACGTAGAATCACGTCAAAAATTAATTTTTGTAATTACGATTTCCCGGAATGTCCGTTGAACAATCATCGTTCACAATTCGAGTGAACGTTTGATGTTTTGTTTGAAAATAACCGTTCGTTTGAGTTTTCGCATCTGGTTCGTATTTTTGCAAGATTTTTCGTGGAAGCAATTTACCGTAAAAATGATGAATTTATTCGCAAGGCGGAACTTGCGAATCACGGTCGACAGTTTCCGTAAACAAGCCAGCGATTCTGGGTATAATCGCGATGTACGGTCTGCAAAAAGAGAAGTTCGATGAACTGGCCTCAGGAGACTTCGAGGGCCTTACCTTCTTTCACTGGAAAGGGTAGATTACCTTGGTCACGAAGTATCAGAGATACGAACACGGATCTTGCTAACGAACTTCTTGTCCGTCCTTAAAACAAAGGCTCAACCGTTCTATTGGCCAAAAAGTTCCGTAGCTTTTTAAGGGGATACTACAAATCCTATCTATCTGAAATCTTGTTACACAACGTATCAATTGTTCTTTGGTGTATAAGGAATTTTTATGGAGCAAGATATTTAGTTATTAGTGATCATGTGTGATTACTCACATATGCTCTTCTGTAACATGGATGATTCATAGGATTATTTTTAATACAAAATTCAGCAAACTGAAACACTTCTGTCTACTAGATACTTCTTTGTACTATCAATCTAATGTTAATTTTGGTCTTTTTCAACGTTTTATATCATGATAGGTACTCGTATTATTCACTTCATCTCTTCAAAAAAATTCATGAGCTTTTGGTAATTTATTTTGTAAAATCTAATTGAGTAAAAGAAATATGTATATATAAGTTAATTGTCCTTTTTTATTCAGTTTATTCAAGTCATTACAAGTGAAGCTATTTTCTTTGAATAATATATGCAATCAAGAAAATTAAATTAATGTTAGGGCACCTTAAATTAATAATTAGAGCGTTGAAAATAAATGACTAAAATTTTGGTGTATATCTAATAAAAATAGGAGATAGTAGAAAATAAATTGCTTGCGACACGTTAACTTCTTAGCTAACGTCATTTTTCATATTTCACATCGGACAAATCATATCAGTTAGAAACAGACGTTGGATGTGCGATAAAGCAGTGAAACCATGATAAACGTAGAAGCAACAACGTGTCCTTTGTGCAGGCAATTTTTCAGTTTTAGACAATTTTTGTTATTTAATCCTGTGTTGCACTCTATTACATATAACAATATTGATAAATTATAATTGTGATAATTATTGCTAAAAATGAATTGCATATTTCACAATCAATAGAATTATCTGAAACATTTCTAATCTTCTATAAATATGATTTCATATTTTTCTTTTACAAAATGTATTGTACTATTCTTTAAACAAACTTTTCAGAAAAGAGTTGCATCGTAACTTTTTATTATTATTACTAGTCATGTTCTTTTAAAATTAACTAAAGGTTACAACAATAATGACAAAGAACTTCTCATAATTGTAGAGATAATTCTGATAATTATAGATAGTAGCAAACAGTAAACTTACAATAGATAATAGGGGAGTATACATTTATTATAAATAATAAAATAATAAATTTTCGGTGAAATCATTAGAGATGATCCTCTTATTTCAACCACGTAGATTATCATTAAACATAAGCGGATAAAGTTGGAGGTGAAATTTTACCTTCAAAATAATTATAACACGGCGGATTAGTATCATTATAGCGTGGTAAATGCGTAACGTACTTGCAATGGTAATATAAATACGGTAATATAAAGCGAGGCAATCCCGTTTAGCACATATTTTCCATGAATCCTCGTGTACTACACAATGAAAGATCAGAAAGATCAGAAAGGAAGTGTTTCCTTATAAAAATGGCAATATAACGCGAGTGTAAATGTAATTCTACCTCTCAAAGACTATACATATAGTACTATATATAACATACAGTATTAAATAATATTAAATATCTTATTTATTCCTTTTTGTCCACATTTCAAATCGTAAAACTGAAACCGCTTATAAAACCCCATGAAAAGATTTATTTTTCGTTAAATGGAAACCAGCACAAACTACTGGACAAATAGATGATTTGAATGATAGATTAAACGATAAAAAGATGACTCGAATAACGGATATAATCGACAAAAAGATGTTCGAACGTTATTTATTTTAAATTCATGATATCGTTTGGCCCAGATCTCAACATGTGTCTTTAATGTTTCATGGGAGAGGATAGGTGAGGGGTGGTAGGCACACAAGGCTTCCTTTAAGCTTTATCGATTCGCTCGAAAGACGAATTACAATGCGTTGAGGGCTGTTATGACGGATACCTGGACACGTAAGGTCTCCTTCATGGATGCTTTTCGTACGTGAACTGTTCGCTCAATTAACTAACG